GGGGGTTAGAATGATAGGCCCCGATGTTCATACGTGAACGGACTACTTGGGGTAAGGCATGAGCAACCAAGTTCGCTGAACGATAAACAAATTCTCGTACAAAGGAAATGTTGGTTTCTAAAGATGGTGAAAAATTTGCTAAGTGGATATCATTTTATATCAATTTTCTCGCTTGGCTTGAGGCCTTGAGTAATAAGAAGCCATCCAACTTCTCAAGATTTACGGAGAAGCTCGCCCAGGTTTGTGTCCTAGCGGATGTGGATGCATTGGCTCACTATATGTTCTTAGATTGAAAAAGTATGAATAGAGACTGCATTATATTTGAGTCATTAACACTAAAAAATTATTTGATTGTTGATTTAATATTAACTTATGATTGTTGATTGAAGTCATTTTTAATTCAAATTTTTGAAAATTAATGTAAGAATTAAACATAAGGAGTAAAATTTATATATTTAAAATATACCCCGAGTACATAAAAGTTCTACTCCGTATAGAACTAGATGCAACTTTATCAAATGACTAATGCAAATATGTAAGAAAAATCATTTAGTTTTATTTGATGCGATAAGGTAATTGAGAATTTGTTTAGAAATAGTAGGAATACATCATTAGTCCCATATTTTAATTATACTACTATCCATTTCTTTTCTCTTTTTTTTGCAACTCAAATTTAAATTTTCATTATTTTTAAGCAACAAAATGCTTGATTCATACCACATCCGTTCCAAAAAATGCAACAATTCACTATTTAGAAATTAACTTTTATTTATTTGTACATTTTCATCACTTATTCGATAAAATAAAATATTCTTGTCAGTTTTGAAAAAAATTTGAGTTTGTTTTTAAATATCTAAATATTATTTTTATTTCTATACCAATTTTTAAATAAAGTAAACTTTAAAAAAGTTAAATTTTCACCTTGTTATGTAATGTGGCAAAAATTTTGGGAGAGTATTATTTCTATATACATATTTCACATAATTACGGAGTACATCTTTTCTTAGGCTCGTGAAAAAGCAATGGAGCTGGTAAAATATATGCAACAATTTTGGAGGCATAGCATCGATCCCCGCTGAAAATTTTCTCTGCATTTGATTTTTCGTGGTCAACTTTTTAAAACTTTACCCACAATATACGAAAAACAATACATTATGTTTTAATATAAATTTAATATTAAGAGATTAATTTCAAAATAGTACCTATCATACAATGGTCAAATTGTTGCAGAAAGTCATATGCAATAATACAGTAACGGAATAACTGGACCAAAAAAAATTGTTGCTGAACTGAGTATTATATGCCTTGATTATCAGAAAGATAGGTTCAAAGCCAATGAATTCTCAATGAAAGCAACACAAGAAGAACTAACAACAAAGAGGTCTACGTACACATACCCTATCGGATTCAATTGGGTTGGTGTTTTTGTACGATCCACTCCCGATCATATTGCGCACATTTTTTTCGTTACAATTGTACGTACACATGACAGAACATTGTTTGCATTCTGAGGGTGAAAGCGCACGTAGCACTCAATCGGCAACTCTTTGAAATCCCATAAAAAAAGTAGGGTTTGGGGATGGTGTGTGCGCGGGGGGAGTTTACCCCTAGTACTAAGTAGGGATTGTTTCTAAGAGACACCCGACATAAAAATGGAAGTACGGACAAAGAAATGATAGTAGCACGAACAAACTACGCGCGGAGGGAAAATGCACACAAACCAAACGTAGCAACTCGATACTAAACACAAAGAACACGCAAACACCACTTAATAGACCAAGTCATCAAGGCGTAAAAACACCCTAGCTTAAACTACATTCTAAAGCCCACATATATATGTATCAGCTACATTGTAGAAAGGAGTACTTTGCAACAGGCGAATGAAACTGAAACACCATACTGTTTCCAAACTATAAACGATTCAAATCATAGATGTTAATAGAATACATTCACAGCTCAATGGACAAGGAAAACCACATTCCATTCATAAATAATTCAAGTGGAACAGAATAAAAAATTTGAACAAGGCAGAAAGCTGAAGAAGAAATACCAATTTACAACAGCAGGTGTGGGGGGAACCATTCTCGTATCCAAGCAGCTCTTATAAAGAATTTCAATCAGTACAACTCTAGTTAGCTAGTAGACTCCAGCAATCGAATGAATCGAGAGAAAATCCGCTGATGAGAAAGTTAAAAATCTCGTCTTTCTTGCGCCTTTACAACCTGATATCAGACCGTAACAGTTGTTTCCGCTTGAATACCAAGAATGTGACCACAAAGACCTGCAAAAGCCCGCCAATTCCCACAAACAGCAACCCGACTTTCTTCCCCAAGTTCAGTTTCTTTTCTTTCTGCCGGTGGTTTGAGTTTCCAAGTGGTGCATGTTGCCTGCCATTGCGATTCTCCCTTTGGTGTGAGCCATCTGGATGAGACCAGACCGGTTTACGAGGTGCAGGGGAGAGTTTCCGATGAGGAGGAGGAGGAGAGGCAGCCGCGGGCAGTGTGGGTGGAGGTGGGGGAAACGGGGATGGAGGAGGTGGAGATGCAGGGGCAGGTGGTGGTGGCGGCGACTGAACAGGCGGCGGTGGAGGAGGAGGTGAGACTGGAGGTGGCGGCGGAGGTGGAGGGGGGAAAACGGGAGGTGGCGGCGGCGGAGTTGTTGATTGCGATCCAGGATTCACATTTTCCTGAGACTGCACGGCGATCCCGAGAAAACAAAGCAAAAACCCCAATGCAAATGCGATTGAGGTCGGGAATGGCGAATCCACGTACATCTTCACAATGAACACGGATCGTCGGA